GTCATGGTTATTGTCTGTTTTAATAAACAAAATAAAACTTATCATGCCTCTGGTTTGTATTTTACGTATTTTTAGTAAGCATTTAAAATTTTCACACTGATTTTTTTTTAATATAATTGCATAGGTTTTAAAAAGAATACTTGCTGTGAGCATTTTTGAAAACATAGTAAGGACTGTGAGAGATATTAAAGGATAAAATGCATTAAAACGTAAATATAAAGATAAACAAATGTTTACACTATCCCTAATTACTTACTCCAGCAACATGTAAAAGTTTGGCATTTGAAATAGACTGTATTTCCAAAATCCAGTGAACTGTAAACCAAATAGACATCTTAAGCTTATAAATATATAGAGACTTTGGTTGATTTAAACGTATTTTTCAAAGTCAGTTTAATTAGTTATTACTGCTACAGCATGTACATGAAATCTGCAATCACTATGTGATCCTAAGGCAGACCTATACCGAATGGTCACTCAAGGGCAGAGATAAGAGTGCTGATGTATTTTTTTAAGATGCCAATGAATTGGACAACTTGCTTCTGACAATAATTGCTTTAAAGACCCTTTAGCAAATATCAGCAGAATTGGTTTGTAACTTACCATGTCTTTCACTTTGAACATGGCCCCTACAGGTTTTTGCACATGTCAGGATATCTACAAACACAATTTGTTACAGGTTGACTATCCATGAAAAACATTTCCTTTACTGTCTAAAACCTGAATAATTACTTTTTCCAAACTACACAATCTTAGTTTTCCTATCGTGCACTGAAGATTAAAATCAAATGTCTTCGGCACATTGCTTTCTTGTTTTGCTCTCCAAATGAAACACCTTTTGAGACCATTTAAATAAACTGCAAAAACAGAAGGTTGCAAATATAGCTCTTAGAAATTGTAGAAGTCAGTTAATTAAGATTTATTGCAAAGGTTCCTTATTCTGAAAGTCAAAGTTTTAACTCTATAATCTTATTTATCCAACTACAGTCGGAATAATCAAGGAATGTTTCTCATAACTACATCTAAGTGGTTCTAAGTGATTTCAAACTTTTTTTTTTTACATTTGTTTAATTATAAAGAGAGCAAACAATTAAGCCAGGTTTGTTTAATGTGGTTTTCTTAGTATTTCTTAAATATGAGAAAAAATATATATACATAGTCAACTACATGAAAGAAAAGGCAAACCGATGCCAATTTATTTCATCTCTATCTTCATGTTCCACAATATGCACACATAGAGTAGGAAAAAAAATCAATCGTCTATATTTTTTGGTCTCTAATATTTTTTCCATACTCATGTAAGTATGAACTCATGAGCAATGTTATTAGTCTGACTTTTTTTTCCTATGTGTGGTCCTGGAAAAATTCCAGCACCTTCTGATAGGTGGTTGCTTCTTTAAATTGTTGCAGCTGTTTGCAGACGCCCATTCATTCATCCAAATTTTAGATGAACTCTTCAGCTCCTTCTCCAAATTCTGTTGTACTTCTATGATACGCTATCTTATACACAATCAGTCTCTAATTCCTCCATTAACCAACGTGTGCTTGGTTCCTTCCACTCAGAATTAGTTCCCTTATTCCAGTCTCATTTTACTTAATCACTTCTATTCATCCCCCAGAGCAGAACTGAATTCAAATGTTGTTTCCTCAGTAAGATGGCCCCACACCTTATCCTCCCGATTTGGAGGATATATGCTTTCAGAGCACCATAGGCTTCTCCTTAGCAGTACTGACTACAGTATTAACTACAGGTTTGTAAATTACCTGCTTATTATCTGCCTCCCACCAGACTTTAAAGTACAAAAAGGCTCACTCACTATCATATACAAGGAATACACTAAAAATATGTTAAATAAAATCAAAGTTTATGAATAACACATCACACTTCTGTTTTTGTGTAAAAACACACAGGCTTCCGCTTTAAGAGGAAAATCTCCTTAGCTCATTTTTTACCACAAGGCACAGCCAATATGTAACCTACAGATAAGAAGGTAAACCATTTTACTGTTGTCCTCTCAGTCTAATGAAATCATAATGTCTTAAGAGATAACTTTTGCAATTGTCTCTTAAATAGTTAGAAGAGAATTTCCAAAGACACTCCAACGTGGAGCAATGGCAAATTATTTCCTCTATTTGAAGCAATACAATTATTTTAATTAAGGCTGGAACAAAGTGGCATCAGTTGAAAGTTTATTCTGAAACATTCAGTTTCTATAAATTCTTTTTAAATTCAATACTACACTCTGATTCCTTTGGATACAGAAGGAATATCTGATAGATCCACAGATTGAATTAGTTCATAAAATTACCTTTACCTGGAGTATTTGCATTTTCACAGATGTGATTCTTTAACTTCAGAATTTCAGGCACAACAAGAGGGGGACTTCTTGGTATCAAAATTATAACATGGAGGTAGATGTTCATATTTAAGGTCAATCATAATATTTTATTAGTATACATGTGACAATATTTTAGTTGGTTTAGGACCCTTATGTACTTTCAAATAAAATATATTTTGATTCTTTTTTAAATATTTATATCTAAAACAAAATCTAATTAAATTAACAATCATCATTTCTTAATGTTCAACAAAGATAAATAATTGGAATAGATTGTTTAAAGATATTATTCTTCCAGAATATGTGGTTTCAGTACATGGATTCCATCTGTTATTTCATGTTTGACACATATCTTTTTTCCATATAGCAACATACTTTTAATAAACTATCCCATTTTAAAGTGAAAAACAACTTATATTTTATCTTTTTGATATGCAGAGATCTGAACTAAATATACTCTTTTGTAATCCTAGAATGAAAGGCTGCTGTATGTATGAAATTATGCAAGCATATTTATATATTTATTTTATTTAAAGTGACATATTGATTTTGTCCTGAAATTAAATTTTTTCCCTATAGCTAAAAATTGTTGTACTAGATTGTATTTTTTGATAATGTAGTGGCAATAAAAATCCTTAGAAATCATTTGCTAAAGCAAAGAGGAACAGAAAACCCTTTTCTGCTTTATGTTGAAGGTATATTTGACAAGATTTTGTTGTTACTAAAGAGGAAAAGAAAAGAGAAAACAGAAATTCTATTTTGAATAACCATAAAGCAAATTATATGATGTGGAAATATTTGCTAAATGAAGAGGAAAATTACATAGTAAATACAAAGACTATGAGTGTACCATATTATATGGCTTTATTTATTAGAGGTATTTCTGAAGATTATCAGCTAAGTGAATTTACGTATAATATTTTGGAACACTAAGAAATTGATATTGGTCCAATCCACAGGGCGTGTGTGTTTGTGTGTGTGTGTGTGTGTGTGTGTGTGTGTGTGTGTATGACATTTATCATGTACCTGTCAATTTATCACGTACCTATATAGCATCAGTTAACTATCACCATGATCAAGATATACAACCATCATTACAGTACTCTCTCCTACTGCTTCATAGCCACACTGCCCTCCTTCAAACCCCTAAGCCCTGGCAACCACTAATCTGTTTTCCATATATATAATTATATTATATCAAACATATAATATGAGCGGAATCATACAGAATGCATCCTTTTGAAATAGGCTTTTCACTCTGTAAAGTGCCATTGAGGTTTATTCAAGTTGTGTGTCAATACTTCATTCATTTTTATTTCTGAGTATTATTCCAATACATTCAAATCAATGTATTTTATTTTAAATATCACCATATGCTGCCTTCGTGTATATTATGCTGAACTGTCTTTCTACACATTCGTATGTTGAGGTCACAACCCCTAGGACCTCAGAATGATACTGCATTTAGAAATGGAGTCTTTAAAGAACAATCAAGGTAAAATGGGATCATATGCATGGGTCCTAATTCAATGTGACTCATGTCCTTATAAGAAGAGAAGATGAGGATATTAGATACAAAGAGGACAGACCATATGAAGACAAGGAAAAAGACGGCCACCTACCAACCAAGGACATAGGCCTCAGAATAAAATCAACACTTGCTGACAACTTGATTCTTCTAGCCAGCAAAGCTATGAGAAAATAAATTGTCTGTTGTTTACGCCAGACAACCTGTCTTATTTGTTATGGCTGCCTTAGCAACAAATGCAGTGTATAAGAATAGTTTTACCTTTATAAATTTGTCTCATATGTGTTCATTTATAATACTTTCTGCTATAAGGCAGTAACTTGTGTGCTCATATAATTTATGAACACTTCTCAAAAGGGGTTTTTAAAAATCTCTTAAGCGTTTCCTGTTTCCTGCTCTGCAATATAATTATGTTATGGTGGAATTAAAGAGAGTCTATACTTATAAAAATCATAGGAGTGTTTGCGCCTGACCATATTGTAGCAAAAATCTATGATGTTATAAAGAGAACATTTAACTGAATTCATCAGATTTCTGAACAGCTTAACTACTTTTCACAGACTTCACATAGATTATGGCATTTGAACACATTTCTAAATTTTTCTGCTATTTAGAGTGGATCACAATTAAATATGTTGGCTGGAATGCTTTTATAATATAGACAGGAATTATAATTTAGAAATTATTACTATTTGCTTTGTGACATGCAAAAGGGATGGCAGCCTACGTGGGGCAATTGAAATTCAATTCATTTAATAACATTTTATTGATTTCTGAATTCTATTGGTGAGTAATATGGACTTACTCATTAAGATATGTTGTTACATGAGTATATAAGAAACATGAGTACATAATCATTAGAGGGAAGCATTTCATCTTATTAGTCATACTACTGAGAAGTAATATAAAAACATCTTTCTGAAGTTTAGGAAAGAACAACAACCAGAAAATTACCTCTGCAGTGTATAACGTATATGACTGCATTGCACCTGCAGTGAATACAGGCCCCTGAGGGATACTACGCTTCAAAAGAAATTATGGGTCTGTTTTGAGAGAACAGCAGTGGAACTTACCGTCCTGATCCGTGGTCACCGTGATAGCTGTGAATGGCTTGGGAGAAAAACTCAACTCAGAAACTCCATTCATTGCTTCTATTTCAAAGGTGTAATTCACGTGAGACACAAAGTCAAGTACTATCACGGAATTGTTGATCAGGCCTGTATGTCTTGGGATGAAGCGGAGTCCTCCACCACAGTCCTCACACTGGCTGGTGTCTAAGCCACATTTCTTACAGATTACACTGTATGTGAGATCTTTTCTCCCTCCTGTGTCACTTGGTGGGCTCCATTCCAAAATAAGGGCTGTTTCATTGATGTTAAAAACCACATTCCTAGGAGCTGAAGGTGGCCCTAGAGAAAAGCAATTAAAAAACATATGTACATGTATAGGACAATGAATTATGGTGTTAAATTGAAAACGTCATTCATAAACACCTGTTGGTCTTTATGTTTGTTTGAATTCTTTTTCTAATGGCATCTATAATGATCATATGGTTAAAATAGTTCATTAAGTCTAGCAAGGAAGGAGTATTGAGGAATAAAGATGATCTATACCTTAAATTTTTGGAGTATGAAATTCAATATTTAATATAAAAATCAGCGTATCTTAAAACATATGGTAATTATACTTTTTAAACTAGACTAAAATATATATCAAAAATTATTTTAAATTATGATAGCTTTAATTATATCTTATTAATTATATCACCATTTTCAAAATTTGAAAAAAATTACAAAACACACTGTGGTTTTTCAGTCTTCTTAGTATAATTGGTATATAGATAAAATCCCCATTCATTGCTTCTGAAAATCACTAAGAATCTGTTTCCCAAAAGTTAAGAATAAATGACCATAAAGTTAGGGTGAACAGACAATTTGGAAAAAAGGAAAAAGAAATGAAAATTAAAAGGCAACAAAAAGCCTTTTCTTAAGTCTTTGTCAATTTGATGAGATAAAAGCATTATATGGAAGGGTTAAAAAGGGGCCACAGACAAGAAATGATGGCAAGACTTTCATTTAGATTAAGTTTACTAAACACAAGTAAGTGTGTCCTTAAAAGCAAGCATGGCCCTAAGAGGCCCACGCAATTCTTTTATTTGTCATAAAGACCTCAAAAGCCAAGTCAGTTCTAAGGAGGGAATGAGCATCTTCTCAGTTTTTCCACAAAGATCACACGGCATAGAGTACTTGGTAGCTTACTTTAATTCTTCCAGCCTTTCCTTAAAATTGTGTGAATAATCTTATATACTTATTTGAGTCCTTCAAGCCTCAGTTTCATTATGTTCACTGAACAAATATCACCTGAATGGTCTTCTAGGTGGCAGACACTGCGCTAAGTACTATATGTGAAAAAACACAGAATCCACATTGCTGTGATTATACTTACGAGAGATATTTAGAGAAATAATATATTGTATAAATGACTGGTCAAACAACATTCATACCATATTTTAGAAGGCTTCATTTAAAAAACTCTAAACCAATTCTCTAACTTTTGTTACCAAGAAAATGTGTTTTGAGAGTGGAAAGGAATGTCTCCCCAACATTCGCTCCTAGAAATAAATTCAAGTTTTGATAAAATCTCCTTTTGGATTTCAAACTAAAGCCATTCATTCATTAAATATTTCATTTAGTGCCTATTATATGGCAGATACTCTACTAGATCTTGGGCTTTCAGAGATAAAACATGGTAGACATTATTTCTGCTTTCTTATTTACATTTTAGTAGAGTGGCTAGATACATTTAAACAGATGAATAAAATTCAAATCATAATGAGTACAATTACAAAAATTAGGACCGGTGCTGAAATAAAATCAATCAGGTGGACCCCTGTTTTAGGTAACATTCTGAGAAAGCCTTGTAGAGGTGGCGAGAATGTGTGGAGGGGTGGAAAGAATATTAGGAACAGAAAGTCTGCCTTCTTGTCAAGAAAGATCCTGAAATAAGCATGAAACTGTCAGAAAGTCACTGTGGCTAGACTGCAGAGGGAAATGCATGAAGCAAGAGGACTGCTAGGCTCATTGGGATGAGTCTGGATAGTTTTCTTTTTTTTTCCTTTATATATATGTATTTTATTGCACTTTAGGTTCTGGAGTACATGTGCAGAACATGCAGGATTGTTGCATAGGTACACACATGGCCATGTGGTTTGTTGCCTCCATCCCCCCACCACCTATATCTGGCATTTCTCCCTAGTTATCTCTCCCCAATTCCCTACCCCCCACTGTCTCTCCCCTAGTTCCCCCCAACAGGCCCCAGTGTGTGATGCTCTCCTCCCTGTGTCCACGTGTTCTTACTGTTCAACACCCACCTATGAGTGAGAACATGCGGTGTTTGATTTTCTGTTCTTGTGTCAGTTTGCTGAGAATGATGGTTTCCAGATTCATCCATGTCCCAACAAAGGACACAAACTCATTATTTTTTATGGTTGCATAATATTCCATGGTATATATGTGCCACATTTTCCTTGTCCAATCTATCATCAATGGGCATTTGGGTTGGTTCCAGGTCTTTGCTATTGTAAACGGCGCCACAGTGTTCTATGTACAACAGGAATGGACCTCAGCTAAGCTACCTATAGGTACATCACCTAGAAATGCAATGAATCATTTTTCTAAAAGGTCGCCTAGTGCCATCCTTTATGCCATGTCATGTTTCACAGGGTTTACAGAAGCGTGTACCTTCAGAAAGGCAAATGTGAAGGGGATTATAAACTAGAGAACAGAGATAAATGTAACTTTTTACCTCCAACCTAGACTTATGCCTAGCAGAAAGATTCATTATCATTATCATAATAATGTTTTCCTACAGAATGACATATTCATATTGTTGGTCTTTTATTTATAATGGAAAACATGAATTATTATTCACTTATATTTTCATGCTAGGAAGAATGTTATCAATTATGTTATGGGAGTCGACAAGTATATAACTGTCCGCCTGGAGATACTTAAAAAAAAAAAAAAAAGAAGGCTGACACCCTTCTTACTCAAGGGCCCTCATACCAATTTGCGTGACGATTAAATAGCTTTTTAATTGCTGTTAAATTATGCCAGCTAAACTGTGATTTCATGCAAATATTAAGCTGTAATGACATGCAGTGAATCATTTACTGAGATTTAGAACTTGGAACAAAGAGAGACTATTAATTCTAATCCTCAGATTCAACTAAATTGGGTGTCACTGGGCTTTTATGAATGTGGCCTGATCGCTTTGTTATCATTTATAAATTATACAAACATTATGTGACACGTTGAAAAAACAACGTGGCAGCAATAACACTTTGGGAGACATCTGTATTGAAAACTTTCAGGTATTTCCTTATGTTGTTTTGTGTCTTTAAAAGAAACAAATAATTCACACAGAAAGAAAACAATCTCCAATCCTCACCCTCCAGACTGACTTTATAAGAAAAGGGCAATTATTCCGATTTGAAACTAGTTGTTTTTCAAGTCCATCATATAATAAATTTTACCTAAAAACTACAACTTCATTTCTATTAGTTGTGTTACAATTTTATGTTCCACTAGTTGTTTTTTAACTAGAAAACACTTTTCTTTTGCTTTGATTTGAAGGTTCACTTTATAATTTCAAAGAATAAAGGAATACTGTTCTACCAGTAAAACTTATGAGATGCTTGTAATGAGGCTCTCTCTTCCCTTACCAGAAAAACATCTGTCCCGGTAGGCTCAATCTTCCCCTCAGAGTAGCAGAGATCAGGTGTGCTGTAATTTTTGTTTTGTTTTATCTCATTGAAGTTCTTAATGTAAATTGTTTTTAAACATAACTGTGTTTCTTAAAATATGTCCTACACAATACTTCTAGTCCCATGAAGCATCACACAAAAATCAGTTCGTTGTTCAAATAAGACTCTTGGTGAACTGATGCTGAAACAAAAGTAATACTATTTGCTTCACTTTGTTGAATCCAACATTTCCCAAAAGTTTGTTCACAGAATCTTATTTTCCAAGGACCATCTAGAGGAATACTAGCATTTGGCAGAACATACTTAAATAAAGGCTGACACAGAAGAAGAAAAAGCTAAAGGGCCATATTTCGGTTGTTGCATCAACTGGTACAGATTTATGTTTCACGTTTATAATCGTAAAAATACGTTAACTCATAAACAAACGGGGATTTTTCATATGGACTAAGAGTGACTGTTCACCCAGTAAGTCCATAGCTAATTTTAGTTTGCAGAGGTACTTTTTAAAATCTTAAGAATAATAAAAATTTCATCTAACTACCTGAAGATACCAAGTCATGAAAGACGACTGCCTATTAAGCTATATTTAATCAATTCTTAAGTTGCTGCCTTTGTTAATTTAATGACTGCCAAGAATGTAGTAGTATGGTTTATTAACAGGAAATACATTTATTCATATTTCTGACTTTAAAAATGAGAGAAAAATAGTTCTATCCTAATCTGTGTCAAAGGCAAGATTAAAAGAACACTCTGAACCATTTAAAGATGCCTAGATAAATGTTTTTACGTATCGGTAATTGTAGAATTAAGAAAAACAAGTACATAGGTAGAGATAAAAAAGCATATCCCCAGACATTAATATTGTGCTAAAAATATAAGTTGTCAGCAATATATATAGACAAAATTTTAAACTATAAAAGTCATTTCATCCTTTGAATCTTCACTATTGATTTGATCTTTAATCTACATCCATATAGTTAATCTGATATCCTTCCTATATAAACATTAAAAAATGTATTTAATAGGAGCACCTGTGAAAGAATTTTGTATTTTCTTTCTCTAAATCACTTCTTGCTCTATCTATAGGTTTTGTTTCTTAAATATTTTCTATTTGGAAATGAATGACAATCATAAAATTGGAGCTCCACCTCAGCACAGGAAGGAACCATCTGAGTCTATTCAGATGAAGAAATGAGGTTCAGAAAAGTACATTAATCACATAAAGTTTATGCAGTTCATTAATGGTAGAATTATACCTACTATTTATCTGTTTAGATTTTTAAAAACTCTATTACATCATATTCAGCCTATAGATAGAAAATCTGACAAATAAATATCAAAATGTGCAGTTGGCCCTTGAACAGCATGGATTTTGAAGTGCATGGGCCTACTTATATTTTCAATAAAAGTTGAACCAAGTATGCTTGCTTCTCCTGCCTGCCCTTTCACCTCCTTCACTTTTTCTGCCTCTGCCGCCCTGAGACAGAAAGAGCAAACCCCCTTTCTCTCCTCATCCTCAGCTTACTCAACCCGAAGACAATGAGGGGGAAGACCTTCACCGTGATCCACTTTCACTTAATAGTAAATACATTTTATCTTTCTTTATGATTTTATTAATAACACTTTCTTTTCTCTTGCTTACTT